ACACTTAAGTTAAATGTCACGGTGACTCTCTCATGGCAGCCTGAGCCTTGTGAAGAGTGGAGTACTGTTGTAGTTTGTACGTCAGAGATTACCTGTACATTCGTATGATGCAATTTTCCAGTGAGTTTTATATTATAAATTATAGGAAAAGTTCAGGCAACAAATAAAATACTATATGTAAATCATGAATACACTTCATAGGAAGATTAATTTAGGTCAGTAGTAATTATATAATATTTTGCAAAACAAAGATAACCAGAAGCTGGTGTCCTCTTTGTCAGCTGACTACATCTTTCTCAATGGTGTGGCCAAAAAAAGTACAAATTATCAGGAACTCTGTGCTAGGAGGTTTAGGGGAAGGGGCAGTATGATTATAGCTGATTTGACAATTTCCTCTTTTCCCCAAAGTATAATCCAAAAATCTTTTAGCCATACTTTTGAAGTTGTTATTGCTTCAAAAGCCAAATAGCAAAAAATTATTTTCTGTGGCAATAGAAGTATTTCTAAGGCTTGAGAAATCTTAAATAATGTTGAAAAGAAAGAATCAGTTAATTTTTTTTTCTATTTCTAGCACATTAGCATTGACAAGGCAGAAGGTCTTAGCCATTGTAAGGCTGAGTGGATCCTCTTCTGAGTGCCCTTATAATTTATATAGATAATATAACTTATTTGTGACATTATATATATTTTTCCATGTGTTCTTATATACACATGGTATTGTTAAAATGTAGGCTTATGATCATTTCTTAGCTGTTAAAATTATAACTGATAAAGTAGGTTAGTAGTAGTTGCCTTTGTCTTGTGATCCCATTGTGAGAGGAAAGCTCTTGAAAAAACATCAACTTTATGGGAAACCTGGAGAGGCTCAGGAAAAACTTAGAGTTTGCTCTCACAGAAAGATTCTTTGCAACTTAAATACTTCTTATATTTCTCTTCATTTTTTAATTATTTTTAGGGGGGAGGAGGAGCAGAGGGAAAGGGAAAGAGAGAGAGAGAGAGACTTTTAAGCAGGCCTGATGTCCAGCGCCAAGCCCGACGCAGGGCCCAGTCTCACGACCCTGAGATTACGACCTGAGCTGAAATCAAGAGTTGGATGCTTAACCGACTGAGCCACCCAGGCATCCCTGATACTTCTCTTTAAATGTCATACTTGGGACAAGGATATTTAGTAGCCTAGGGATTGATTATAATTTTTAGCTTTTCATGAAGTAAATCAATCACATGACTGTGAAAATAACTTCTGGTTTTTTTTTTTAAAGATTTATTTATTTGAGAGAGCGAGAATGAGAGAGAGAGCGAGTACATGGGAGGGGGGAGGGTTAGAGGGAGAAGCAGGCTCCTCGCTGAGCAGGGAGCCCGATGCGGGACTGGAACCAGGGACTCCAGGATCATGACCTGAGCCGAAGGCAGTCGCTTCACCAACTGAGCCACCCAGGCGCCCGAAAATAACTTCTGTTAAAAGAGCTAATTTTTCCGGTGTGCCAGTGTTCTTTACCACACATGTATGTGTATACTGCTAGTGCTCTATTAGCTGTAGGAAAAATCATGCTAGTTGAGGAAACCTTCTTAGAGGTAAGGTTTGCTGAGGATATTATGAGAAGTTAGTTATTTTCATCTTATAAATAATGTTAAATTTATTATAGAACCATTTTCTCTATTGATAGAAGTCAAAAGTAACGCTAAAAAAACCCAACATGATTTAATAGCTCCCTTTTTGTAGTTCAGTTTAATTTTGAAAACTATGAAACTTTGTATTACTTGACATACTTAAAACTGAGCTCTTGATTTCCCAATCCATTCCTTCCACAGCCTTCCCCATCTCAGTAAATGGCACCATTATTCACCCAGTTGCTCAAGCCAAAAATGTAGGAAACACTTTTGTTTCCTCCCTTTTTATCCCCCAAATATAATCTATTAGCCTAATTCTCCTTTACCTCCAAATGAGCCACTTCTATCACCTAAGCTAGTCTTTAGCCTCTTACCTTATGGTCCTGCTTCCTCTTTGGTCACCCTGTAATCCATTCTTGACCTCAATGTCAAGCTGATCCTCATAAAATATGAATCAGATCATATTCATGCCAACTTAAAACATACTAAGGGCTTCCTATTGCACTTGATGTAATAGTCAAGCTCCATGTGGTAACATACAAGCCTTTACACGATCTTATCCCTGCATCTCTCTGTGACCTTACCATGTACTCCCTCTTCCTCCTCCTCCTCCCCACTCTCCAAGCACCATCCACACTGGCGTTGTGTTCTGTCCCTTAAATCAATGTATTTCCTACCTCCTTGTAGTTTAGGTCCTGTCACATGTCACCATCTCAGAGAAGCCTTCCTGGCCCCCTCTTTACAGCAGTCTATTAGGCCCCCTCCCAGCCCTTCATTTTCTTTTAATTTCTCAAACCTACATCTAGATCTGAAATTATTTTGTTGATTTATATGTTATTCTCTGACCTTCCAACCCTCATTAGCCCTTTGAGAATAAAAACCACCTTAGTCCATTTATTTTCCCATCCTCAGTACCTGAAACAGTGCCTGATACATAGTGGACATAGAGTATATATTTGTGAATAAACTATTTTCAAAATAACAATTTATTAATTTGATTTTCTGCTGTGTCATCTCATTTTCTAGTGAAGGTTCCAAGTGGTTCAGCAGAAAGCAAAATGAAGAGGGTAGTAAACCTAGCAAAACTGGAACCATTACAAATCTTCTATTGGCTGTATTCTTAGAATAGTATTTACTAAAAAGCTCTGTTTAAAAATTTTTTCCCATTAAAACAATGGTATAAGCCAGTATAAAATAGATCCAAACATACTATTTGATTCTTTAAATATATTGGGTGTTCATTGGTAGGTGGTTAATTGCCTGAGAATTAGCTTCTTCAGCTAAATTCTAGAACAGTTCTTGAAAGTTCTCCAAAGAAGATTTTAGAAGTCACACTTCATTTCTAATTAAGCAGCCTAGACAATTTTGTGTTTTTAATGACATTTGTTTTCAGAGGAGGCATTCTGAATATTTATGCAAAGGTTTTAAGTATATAATTAAAGAATATGGCAGAAGTAAAGCTTTAAAATTATAAATACATTCAGTCATTGTCCAGAACTGGAACTGTATTTGTATGATCAAAAAGTTTTAGTATACTTTTAGACCAAAGTGGAGTTAAATAGTTTAGGAACATTTCCATTCAGCATTTGACTGCTTGGTCTACTCAGAAGATGAAAATAATTGATTTGCCTTCTCATACTTTTAAATTTGACATAGAAAAAGTAAATTTATAAAGATACACCCTTAAGTATATGAACTGCAAAAAGGTCAAACTACTGAGAGTCACAGCTATGAATATGACTTCTGTAAACTTGCATAATGTGATCCAGACCTTTATTTTACTTCATCGTAGTTGACTTTTCTTCTACCTCACTACTTATTCCCACTGAAGGAGTTGGAGTTATTTAGATTGTAAATTGGACATTTTCATTTTTATGTACATCTTGCATATATTTTTAGGTGGTGTTACCTTTTTCTAATCATTTCTTAAGTAGCTGAAATAGTAGTGATTTATTACTGGGGTATCATTCATATATATACTTATGTTGTTTTTGCATTTTGGTGAATTGGTTCATAGATTTAACTGCTCTGGGTTTTAACTGTTTTACTGAGCTACTGCTTCAGCTTCCAGCAGTATCAGTCCCTAGGTTCTAACCTAAAAAACAAAAAACCCAAACCAACCCCTGGTGCCTACCTCTAGGTTTCAGATTCTTCTCGCAGGTTGCCTTCAAGCAGCATAAGGGTGCTGTTTTCATAGAGTTACAAGTTGCTTCTTTTGGAGAAGAAAGATTTATTAAACATTTGTGTTTTTTTGTTTTTTGGGTTTTTTTTTTTGCTCTCTATATAGAGTGTATTTATTTTAGAATTTTTGTGCTAAGCTACAAAGATTTTTTAGGTTAAAGCCAAGTTTTACTTTAAGATTGTGCATCCAAACAAGAAAAGCATTGGTTTCTCTAAACTTAGGATCAGAGCTAAACAGGAAGAATGGTTCATGTTCACAGTGGTCATCCATGGAACTTGTTCTGCAGCGATCATTCCACCATCACCTGCTTGACCGCCCTCTACCTTAAGCCTTAAGGCATTTTCATTCCTACTGTTTCAACAGAGCATATACGTATTATTCTTCCACTTACTTTCTATTGGTAAAATGTTTTAACCACATTAAAATATAAGAAAATTCAAATTAAAATGAACTCACTTTTTTCTTAAAACAAAGACGTATTAACTTTCAACAGTAACTCTAATCCAAATTCATGGAAGGGAAATAATATTTCTTCATGTTTTTAAACTCCTAGGGATTTGATGTTGCATTGGACAGGCATTTATTTCCCAATTCAGAGGAAATTTGAGAAAAAGTAATATAAAACAGGATTTTATTTTTTTTACTGCTCCTGCTGCATTCATCCAGGTTTTCATAGTGTTACTATGAAGACTGGAAGGAATCATTCTCACTACCTCGCTATATAGATGCAGTAGAGTCATGGGAAGTCGTTGACTATTGACTTATCAAACATAGCACATTTGGGTAGTAACAGTACCAAATTCTGCTTCCAGTTCATTTTTTATATCATGGGTATGCCCCCCCACCCCCCCGCCAGGCAGCTACATCTCTTTCCCTGAAAGAAGACCATTCCCCAAGATCAAATGAGATACCTGTCTTCAAACTTTGATTTCAAGTGTCCGTCTATCCCCTTAGAGGCTTCATACTTCCTTAAGTTCAGTTTATTTGTTTATAAAATTTAATACTCACCTGTGGTTTTGAAATTAAAATACTGAACTATTAAAAAAGTATCCTAATAAGTATGATGCTTATTCTTTACAACTAGGAAAAGAAGCTGATCAATAGCAGATAAGAAGTGTAGTTTCTCTGGTTTTAGATAATTTCAAGCCCTTTCTGTCATGATTTATATTGTTCTAATGTTCTCTAACTCAAGTATTTCTCTTTCCTTTAGGTTACTCACTATAAACAGTACCCACCCAATACAAGCAAAGTTTATTCCTACTTTGAATGCCGTGAAAAGAAGACAGAAAACTCCAAGATAAAGAAGGTGAAATACGAGGAAACAGTATTTTATGGGTTGCAGTACATTCTTAATAAGTACTTAAAAGGTATTATTTTTCCTAGTACATTTAAAACGCTGCTTTTATGTAACACTTCATAATTTTTCTCCTATATTGTTATATTCTATGATTTGAAATAACTCCTTCAATAGTTTAATTTTGATATGTACTTAACTACTTTGCCTATTTTAGGGGTTATTTTGGAATTGTAAAAAATCTGTTAATTTGAATGCATTAAATCTTACAATTTGGTGTATGTGCTTATTGTTCTAAATATGAGAAAGATTTTCTGAAACTAATAAGTTTGGGAATAAGTTTAGAAAAGTCAGTAATTTTCTGAGGATAATCTGGTATGTTAATAGATTTAAGTCATTCACAGTAAAGGATTCATTATTCATCTGGGAATTCATTTTGAATTATGGTAGCAATTAGAATATTTTTGTCATAATCTGTTTTATCTTAAAACCCTATTTTTCAGAACTGCCTGACACTGTGGCCTTAGTCTCAAATGCATTTTAAAATGGAAGAAAAAACCAAAATAATTTCTATGCTTTTGTATTTGAAAGTCCATGTCTAGTTTGTTTTATAATAGTATTTCTGGGGCGAAAACAGTTCACAAAGGTTTTTTATACATTTTGGAAAATTTCATCTCTGAAGCCTTTTCAAATAAAAATCTCAAATGAAGACAGATTAAGTTGAATTTTACACAGATAATAACCTTTTTCCATAATCTTGGCAGTTTTAAGATCAGACAGTTCAGATATGTTATACCATTGAAAACCTACTTGAGTATCCAAAGTACTTTGCAGTAAGACTTCCCAAGATATTTTAAATGAGTTTACTAGTGACCTTATATAGAGAAAGTTACTAAAGATTGATGTCATACTTCAGTTCTACAGCTTAAAGATTTTATAAAATATTATTTATAATTATAGCTAAAATTTATGAATTGCCTATTATAGACCAGCATTATGCTAAGTATATGTCTTAACTCACTTAGTCCTCACAGTCATCCTGTAAGTAGGTGCTCTACTATTATCCTCATTTTACAGCTAAAGATAACTAAAAGTATATTTGAGAAGCAAAAACTTAGTCCTTGTGTAAATTATTGGATTATCAGCCCTGAAGACACCCTTTATAAATAAAGTAAAAAGGTTCACCTGGAAAATTATCTATATCAAATTTGAAGAGTATATATATTAATAGTGATAGAAAAAATACCAACTTAGAAGTTAACTTATTACTGTGATTTAAAAATAATAATTTCTTCTGTACATCTCCTTTTCAAATAAGAACTTATATGCTTAGGGTGAGTGAGCAGAAGGGCAAATTCCTTTTCTGGCTGTGCTGTTGACTCTGGGTGATCATTTAACTTCTCAGTTCTTGGTTTTTTATCCATAGAATGGTGAAATATCTAGAAAGATTAATCCTACAGCAACTCAGCAATTTATAGAATGCCTTTAGAAATGTAAACAGGAGAAATCTGTTTTTTCAGGTAAAGTAGTGACCAAAGAGAAGATCCAAGAAGCCAAAGAGGTGTATAGAGAGCATTTCCAGGATGATGTCTTTAATGAAAAGGGATGGAACTATATTCTTGAGGTAAAAAACGGTTTTCACATTTTGCTCTACTTTGGTTTTGCTTTTAGTTCAAAATTTCTTAAAAGGAATTTGAATAGAAGACTATACTTATGACTTATTTTTCTGTCTGTGACCCGAATATAATGGCTATTTTAGATATTCTTGTGAAAAGTTAAGGGTGACATTTAAATTTTTTCTATAGCAGGTCTCAATAACTGGTTATAATATAAATGAATTATTTAAATCACTAGCATTTTTCAGAAAGGAGATTTAATCTTTTCTTTGAAAGTGTACTATAAGAAAGGGCATGGTTATTTGGCAGTTTTAAAATTTAGGTTTTTTTCTTGGCTATAGATCATTTAAGGGAATAGATGCAGTGAGTCTATCACTATGCATTAATTCTAGGAAATTTCCCTGACTGAATCATTGGAATGGTTCCATGTTGATCCATAAAGTCAGTTTTTATTCTTTGTTGTCCTGATCGATTACTTAAGTCCTGTAATATTCATACCTAGCATGTTTGGATCGATTACTTAAACTTTTGAGCATCCAAAGACCTGGGAATTGAGTTATGAGAGTTGAATGTCCTCTGGTGGTGGTCTTTACTACAAAGATAGATTGGGAATTGGATCTTTTGGCATCTTGCCATGTCAAGTGTTCATTTATGTCTTAAAAACAAATGTCTTTTCCACTGTAGACTATCAAACACAAAATAATTAGAAATACTTTAACTTTCAGGCCTATATTGTAATACTGAGTTTTACTATTTTTTACTTAAGGGTCTTTGAAGAAGTCAAGTAAGCACTCTGTGCTGTACTTTCCCTGTATCTTAAGTAAGATCAGTAAAATCTGTTGGCTAACTCCTGCACTTAACCCCATTTGGTTTGTTGGGAAGAGAAAAGTAATAGGTGTTAAGCTTATTAATATAATTCCCAGTAGCCAGGGTGATAAATCTTTTGATTTTATGTTCAGAGAATTTTAGGGATCTAATCTAGTCTTATCTAACCCTGTTTTAAGAATAGTCTGAGACCTAGAGATGTTAAATGACTTGCCCAGAGTCCAGGTCAGTATTTTTGAGTCCATGCTAGGATTTCTAAGGCAGTAATTCTTTCTGCTCTATCAGGAGGCCTTCCAGTGCTTCTCATTAAACAGATTTTTCTTTTATTTAGTTATCTGTCCCAAATCACATTAAAACTACTAGGATTTCTGAAATAATTTGCCTTCCTAGCCAAATTTAGCCACAGCTTTTACCTTTAAAAGAAGAGAGGCATAATTAAATGTCCGAAAACATACTCTGTAGCGAATATGTTTCAGGCTAATTTTGGAGAGAACTATTGCACTTGGATATTGATTGCCAAAGCTTTAGAAAGTACACTTAATGATTGGTCTATCTATTCCTAAAGTGGTTTTGGTCAACTACCAGAATAAAGAGAAAACCTATTTAAGATTCTTCTACTGGCAGGGATCTCTCTCTCTCTTCTTTTTTTTTTCTTTTTCTTTTTTAAGATTTATTTATTTGAGAGCAAGAGACAGATAGCGAGAGAGAGCACAAGCAGGGAGGAGAGGGAGAAGCAGGCTCCCCGCTGAGCAGGGAGTCTGATGTGGGGCTCAATCCCAGGACCTGAGCCGAAGGCAGACACTTAGCCAACTGAACCACCCAGGCGCCTTCTCTTTTCTTTTTTGTTTGTTGTTATTTTGTTTGTTGCTAATAGCAGTCCCTTATTTTGTCTTTTAACCTTTAGCTTTTCTTTTATGAAAATGACTACTGAAAAGAAAGATAGTGTTCTTGGAATATGTTGGAATAAACTTTTTTTGAAAAAATGGGAAAAAACAACTTTTTTCTTTAGATGACTTTGAGATTATCTTCTAGTGAGAAATGTTCTTATCAGAAGTACTCTGATAACATAAAATTTAAAAATTAGTATCAGTGCCTAAACTGTTAATCATTTTAGCTAATTTTATTTCAAGAGAATAAGGATATTCTAGCAATACAGTAACATGTACAATTGCAGTTTCTATGATAGTAAGATTAGCTTCTGTAAAATATAAAGAACCTTATTAAACAAGTAACTGCATATCATCTGTTGAATGAATAAATTCATTATTGTCTATTACCAGAAATATGATGGGCATCTTCCAATAGAAATAAAAGCTGTTCCTGAGGGCTATGTCATTCCCCGAGGAAATGTTCTCTTCACAGTGGAAAACACAGATCCAGAGTGTTACTGGCTTACAAATTGGATTGAGGTGAATTGTTTTATTTTAATTACTATTTAACATCAACTCAAGGTGTAAAAACCATTCAACTGGGATTCTAGTTTTAAAATTGCTACTAATAAAGCTGTATAATCTCCTACAATTTACTAAACTTTTCCAGGCCTCAGTTTTCTCATTTATAAAGTAACAGCTGGATTAAATAATCTTTAAGGTTCCCTCCAGTGAAATATAATGTTCTGAGACTTTATCTAAGTGAAATTATTAAGAACTATTACTGTTAAAGCTCTGTTGGCCTCCATCTTGTTTGTTGCAATCCTAAGTGTATATTATCATAGAGAAAACTGAGAAAAGTGGCACAGGTTTATTTTTAGTAACTTAAGATTTTTTGTGGATATTCTGTTCTAATTATACTAAAGGAATTTTGTTCAGATTTTTAATAACAGCTTTCTTCATTATCTAATCAGCCTAGAGCCTACGCTTTACCACCTGATATTTGTCATCTAAACAATACTCAAGACTTGCTGATCTTTTTGTTTAATTTCTAAGCCCAAAAAGGAGGATACACTAGAGACTCTGAGTTTATACTGCAAGGCTCTTTGTTTTCCGTTCATCTGTACCTAAGCAGTCCTGTTTTCATATGCTCATAGTTTTGACATTAATAATCTACTTAGCTTCTCAACGGCTTAATTTAGATTTTCTCTACTAGAGGAAATACCCTAGAAAGTGACTACAGAAATACCACCCTACTATCTGAGAGGTGTTTACCCAGTGCTTAGAACTAATTCATTATTTTAGTAGTTTATTGGTTAAACTAATTTGTTGTTATATTATAAAATCATACATTTGAGGTTATTTATAAGGACTGGAAAATTTAGAAGAATTAAGGGGTCTAAGAATGTGTTTGAAATACATTGTCTAAGTTGACAGAAAATTTAAAACTCTCTTAATTAGGCTCTTTATGGGACATCAACTTAAGGTAGGCTAATAGGCCCAGAAAAAATGTCCAATTACCCAAAATAAAGACTTAAAATAGTTTACTGCTTTGTACTGGGAAATACTAGATTTTAAGAGGATGATATTACAAAAACACAAGAGGAAGAGTTACCCATCTATCCTTTTACCTTCAATGCCAAAAGATCCCAAATAGATAAATCTTATTTTGAAAGTCATCATCTATGGGTAACCTTTTTCACTTTTTTTTTAATTTTCTGATTGAGGGTTTAGTCAATAAGTACTTGTCCCTTGTGTCTAATTGAACTTCCATAAAGCAGATATTTATGGACATAGAGGTCTAATTCCCAGCTCACCTTGCTTCATGTATGTTTTTATCTTCTTCAGAAAGTGAAAAAAAAAAAAAAAAACACTAGCCTTTAAAAACAACAATAACAACAAAAAAACCCTGTTGTAATAATCATTATTATCTTGGTGTATTTCACTAAAAAACCATGCAGTTAAAAATGTTAATATAAACATCTTAGAGCAGTAGTTTGTTAGCAAATAAATACCATTTTTAATTTAAAAATGACTAAATGTAAAATCCAGCATGAGACTGTTCGCTTTTGAAGGGAAAAAACATTACATAGTTCCTTGTTTTTATTTGCTTAGAACGTGAAACAGAACTTCCATCAAATTTATTTTCTATTTTATTAATATATATTACCTTAAATAATTTCAATCCTTGCTAGCTATTTTTATCTAAGCCACAACAGTTTATGGTCTGACACAATCCCTATTATGGTTTCTATTATAGATCCTTTGTTTTATAAAAAACTGTGTTTACTCTAAATACCAAGTCTCCAGAAGAGGCTTCTTCATAGTAACTTTGCATCCTTTGTGGGTTTCTGTTGCAAGGGTAAGAGGAGGTTTATCCCAATCTTATCAATCCCCAACCCAAGTTTACCACCTTGTAAATGAAGTCTGATACCAAATCCAACAAACTTGTTACTTATAAAGATGTTGTTCAGGCAATCCTTGATTTAAAACATTTTAAAAAGCCACTAAATAGTATTCCTTCCAATGACCTTTCCCAGTGTATGTTCAGAGTTATTGCTAATATTCTTTGCTATTCACCATGCACTGTATTTTAAAACCCACTAAAAATACTGAATTGCTTTATCAATATCAATATTGGTGCTAGGTTTCTTTCAGAACATGTTTAGAAGAGCCCAAGTGTTCTGCAAAGATGTCTCAGACTTACAAAGGGGCTGAGGAATGAACACATTGGGCTAAACGTAACCATCTCTTCCAAACAAAACGCAAAACCAAACCTTTTTGCTGTTAAAAAGAATTATAAAATAGACAGTGACCTCACAGCTTTACAGCATATGCAGAAGTGTTTCATGTAGCTTTCTTAAAATGACTTGATAAAAGCCAAGGACGTAAAGCATAACTCAGTGAATAGAATTCTCTAGTGCTAAGCGAAAGCATCTCCGAACTAAAGAACCTACTGGTAGTCACAATAGATCTAAGGAAAAATTAGATCCAAGACTATGTAGAGAAGTAAATGATACCCATACTATTCAAAGTGTATTCCCATGCTGGTCCATAAACTATTTGATGCAGGTCCATGTTAAATACAGAAATTGAGGATAACCAAACTTATTTAGAAACTTTCATGGTAATTGCCTCAACACCTAAGTGTGAGTGTATTTTATAAAACTATTTGTCCATGACAGATTGAAAATTTAAAAAAAATTGGTCCTTTATCACATAGTCTTTCTAAATATTATTTGCTTCGTTGGCGCTTTGGATAGAAACTAGGTAATTTCATGTTCTCTACTATTAAGGTCCTGCTGTGCTTATCCTTTGTGTTGCTGATTTGAGAGCTAAGCTATTCACTATATCTGGAATGCACAAGATGGGCATCTTGCTATACAGTTCAAATGTCTTAACTGGTATTTCTGGTATTATGATCTCTAGGATGTCCCTCCAGAGAAAGCAGGGATTTTCCTCAGAAAGAACTCAATAGTTTATATTCTAATAATTGTGACTAATTTTATCACTACAGACTATTCTTGTTCAGTCCTGGTATCCAATCACAGTGGCCACAAATTCTAGAGAGCAGAAGAAAATATTGGCCAAATATTTGCTGGAGACATCTGGTAACTTAGATGGTCTGGAATACAAGTTACATGATTTTGGCTACAGAGGAGTTTCTTCCCAAGAGGTAAGAAACTGAAATGAACTTCATTTAATAGAATGTGGTTTGTTGGTTAGATTACCATTATAAATTTGGGGGAAGTTACTGATACTGATCTTGGTTCTGAGTAGGCTACATTTTAAAATTCCAGACATTCAGTCAATATATATATTAAGTACCTACTCTGTGTTAGCCTCTGTTCAGAGTACATGGCAAATGTCCCTATTTTTTATATATTGGATGGATGGGCAGACATACAATGTTATATATTATAATAAATTTAGCAGGTGTCAGGTAATGTTCTACAAAAAGGCACAAGGCAGAGTAAGGGAAAAGAGGCTGGTGGGAAATGGGGGTGGGTCACTATTCAGTAGGTCTCTTGCAGGAGGTAACAGTTGACTCCTTAAATATTTAGGAAAACTGGATCTTTGTCATAGGACGTGTTATCTCTGATAATAGTTAAATATCTATCTCTCCAAGAATAGCTGAAGGCGGGGCGCCTGGGTGGCTCAGTCGTTGAGTGTCTGCCTTCGGCTCAGGTCAATGATCCCGGGGTCCCGGGATCGAGCCCCGCATCGGGCTCCCTGCTCCGCAGGCAGCCTGCTTCTCCTTCTCCCACTCCCCCTGCTTTTGTTCCCTCTCTTGTGTCTCTGTCAAATAAATAAAATCTTTAAAAAAAATAAAAAGAATAGTTGAAGACAATTCCTTTGAGAGATACACTTTATACCTCAAAGCATGGGTCTTTTTCTTTTGTTGGATTTTGGTTTGTGGTTTATTTTCCAGACTGCTGGCATAGGAGCGTCTGCTCATTTGGTTAACTTCAAAGGAACAGATACAGTAGCAGGAATTACTTTTGTTAAAAAATACTATGGAACGAAAGATCCTGTTCCAGGCTATTCTATTCCAGCAGCAGAACACAGGTACAATTCTGTTTTCATCCTCCTATTATCTAAACATTTGTTTTCTAAAATGACTTTTTTCACTCTTGTATTGGTGATTCAGTGATGTTTTGCTTAATTACAAGCCAGGAACTACAGTAAATCTTCACAAATGTAAGCAATACAAATTCAGTATTTATAGTAGGTATTAAAGATTAGTATCAGAGAGAGAACTTGGAACCATCCTAATAAAAACTGTTGAAGAGCTTTCTTTTGACACTTTCATTGCCATGTAAGTTTTATTTTAAGAAGTTTTAAGAACTGCTCTGTTGCCACATGCAGGTATGTTTTATTTGTTAAATCTAGGAGCACTCCCTGTAAAACTTGGTCACTTTCCTGCTTTCTGCATGCCCTGCAAGTTGTCACCTGGACCCAGTACCCTCTATTGTAGAAGAGCAAGGCCCTTTGATGAAAGCTTCCTTATCGGCTCTGGCTAAGCCAGCTCAAGTTAAATGAGAAGGCAGTTACAATCTTGAGTGCAACTGCTCTGCTCCTGCATTTAACTTCATTCAAAGTCAGTGGAGCTTTTATAGTTTCTGGTTCTTAATAACCAAAATTATTTACTGTAATCAGTTTGGGGAAGTTTATTAAGTTCTACTCATACTTGGATATCGCAGGGTGCTAAAACCAGCAGTGAGTTTTAGAATAAAGCTGAGGTTTTATCCAAGGCAATCTACTGGGTGCTAAAAGGGATAGAAAGATACAAGAAATGGACCCTGTCTCCAGTATAAAAATAATAAACTAGCAACATTCTGCTCTGTTGATGAAGTACTTGTAAAGAAGTTAAAGTGCTCTAGTTGTACAAGGGAAGGAAAGGAAAGATGTTACCTCACTGGCAGGATCAAGAAAGCTTTTTGTAGAGATGGTTATGTGAAATCATCACTTCTTGAAAAAATAGCAAAATTTAATGGCAGACATAATCTTTATTGCATGCCTACCACAGGTCAAGCATTGTCCTGAGAGAGCAGGAGTGAAAGAGGAGAGTGAATATGTTTGTTTAGGGGATACGGGCTGAAACATAATGGAGATTTTGTTGGGAACATAGGGGTAGACCCAAGACAGGTTAGTAAAGGCCCTCAAATTCATTTGACAGTGAATGTTAACTGCACATCATGCTAGGTTAATCTAATTACTTTTTCAAATGAGAGTGAGCATTGACGTTTTGAGCATAAGGAGCTTTGTCATCAGAGAAATATTTTAGGAAGATTGTTTTGATAGCAGGATATCCTATAAATTGACAGAAACAAGAAGTTAGGAGGCTGAATAGGAAGCTGTTGCAACAGTTTGGAGAGATGACAAGATGCAGAACCCAGTGGGTCAGTGAATGGAAAGAAGGGGCTAAACATGAGCAGTGGCTTGGGAGATGAAATTGCTAAAACTTGATGATTAGGTTGGGGCTGGTAGAGGGTAGATTCCGCAAACATTCATGGGCATTGCTGTATCAGTAGGGCCCTGTTGAATACTCTCACAGTCAAGACATGTCATCAACAGATGAAGGTTCTAGCATTACAGTATTTTTATTTTGGACTTAGATGTATGTCCATCTTCTAAAAACTTAAATAGTATCTGTGGGCACCTGGATGGCTCAGTGCGTTGAGCAGCGGGCTCTTCATTTTGGCTCAGGTTATGATCTCAGGGTCCTGGGATGGAGCCCTGTGTCAGGTTCCACGCTCAGCAGGAAGTCTGCTTGTCCCTCTCCCTCTGCTCCTCCCCCCATTCATGCTCTCCAGTAAGTAAATAAATCTTAAAAAAAAAAAAAAAAAAGTAAGTAGTATCCGTATATTAGACTCTTCACTGATGGTTTTGTTTTCATAGTAGTAACATCACGAGTATGATACTATAAATCTGAGAATAAAGATATATTTTCTTAGTGTGTTCATGTTAAAACAGAGTGAAATCCATTTTAAAGTCTCATAATACTTGCTACACTTGTAAATTTGACTCTAATATATAAGAATATTTCAGATGTTCTTAAATAGAAAAGTCTTTTAAACAATAGCATGGTATAGTGAAAGGAGCTTTGGGCTGAAAGTTGGGAAATCTGAGTGACCCAATGAATCCTACCTGACAATCTAGGTGGCCTTGAGCAGTTTGTCCATCCAGCCAAAAGGGAGGAGCTAAAATTCCAGATCTCCAACATCAGAAGGTCATTAAGGATAAATGAGCTAACATCTAAATAACTTCAAGATAAGAGAACTCTAAAAGAGCATTGCCATTATTGTTATAAATATTTTAATATACAAATCTGGACTTAAACATATGCTGTTGTCATTTGTTTTAACAGGACTTTTCTGTTTTCTTCCCAATGTACTACCAGTTCACAAACTTAGATTCTTATTTTGCCCTATTCATATAATGGTTTTCATATTCCTGATTTACTTTTTCTGAGAATGTGCAAAAGCAAAGCCATGCTTTCTTATAGCCAGTGATAACACATTTTTTTAAAAAAACCCCACTGAACCCAAAGATGTGGGGAGAGTTTGGTTGACCAAGAAATTTAAGAGAGGTATTAGTCTATTTAATGCGGAACCCAATTTAAAATTGTACATCATGTGGTTAAGAAAATGCTACTTTTTTGAGCTTATGTAAAACTGCCTTGTTAAACTATATAAGTAAAACAAAAATAAATCAACAGAACATTGAGGAGAAAAAAAAACATGCTATTATATAATCTTTCCTTCAAACTTTGGAAAGATGATTTGATTTGATGCTGGAAATTGGAATATGGCATTAGTAGAATTCATTGAACAAATACTTATGAGCTCCATATACCTAATACTATTATCAGAAAAATAGGTGTTACAAATGGATTATGTAGAGGGTGCTGTAGGAAATGTCTCCACAGTGATCGATATAATAAAGATAATCATCTTCCTACCTGACAAGTCCAGAAGAAAAACCTGGACTCTAAGGTATAGATTTTGGAAACCCTTACCACAAGGGGATTTTGAGTGTTTTTCACAAAGGGAGGTGGATGGAGGAAAGCATGCACTGGGTCAGAGCCTATGGTTAGACTGAAGAAGAACGCAGCCTCTGAGGGAGACTAAAGAGGAACCACAGAAATCGGAAAAAAATAAATAAAAATGGGGGAGAGGTCACTGAAGTCATGAGAAAGCAAGCTTCAGGGAAGTTCAAGTACCAAAGAGAAAACAAAGTAAAAGACTAAAAATGAACAGTGAAGTGTGGTCGGTGATACAAAGAGCAGAGTTAGGTGGCTGTATTGATCCAGCGCTGGGAAAACATCCCTGTGTAGGCGACGAGCTTTACCTGTATGAGTTCATGCTTACACTGCAAAGCTCTCTAGTGTTGGTATTCTTTGAGCTCAATTCTCTCCATCCTTCTAAAGAGGACAGTAGTGGTTCTTGATGGGAAGAAGGGGCTGCTCTTCACCCATGTCTTAAGTTTCCCTTTAGCCTGCAGATGCTGGTGTGAAGTAGGGAGCTGGCTTCGGAGCTACTAGCAGCCTCTGAAATTGTCAGGAAGAGCGTTCGCTCCAGAATGAGTTGTATGGGACTAGACATGCTGTCTCTCCATTTCAGATAAAAGGAGTCTCTGGACAGCTAAGTCTTTGTAACCCTGAAGTGTCCATGCTCTGTTAGCACCAGCATATCATTGACAGCATGGGAAAATAGTTTACTCCAGTCCTTTAGGCGGAAGAAACAAAACCCGTAACGAAATGACAGTTTCAGTCATAGATTAGTATGACTCTTTAAACGGTTTTGAGGGGCGCTTGGGGGGCTCAGTCGTTAAGTGTCTGCCTTCAGCTCAGGTCATGATCCGGGGGTTCTGGGATCAAGCCCTCCATCGGGCTCCCTGCTCCGCGGGAAGCCTGCTTCTCCCTCTCCCCCTGCTTGTGTTCCCTCTCTCGCTGTCAAGTACATAAAATCTTTAAATAGTTTTGAGATAAATTTGTACCTGCATGGGTTAGACAATAAATGAATGGGTTGTCTTCCCATTATTTTACTAGAAAAACGGAAGTGGTAGAGATGAAGACTGGAAAATTAGGGAGAAGGAAAAATTGCTTGGCATGAGGAATTGGTAACAGTTTTCAAATTCATTATTAAATTGTTTGACTTATATTTATTAGCCAAGAAGTACTTGTTACATATTATTAATCTATTCAATAAGAAGAATCATTATTGAGGACATTTTAAAAATCACTATAGCAGTTTTTGCCTAATACATACTCTCACATTTTATTTCCCATCTTAATTATGTTTTGCCCAAACTAAGTATTAAAATCCTTACAGTCCCTGGGCATGTATTAATTAGTCGTGGATACTCTATAGATGAAATAAATGACTGCCTCATATTGGCCATTTGAAAATATAACCAGTAAAGGGTTAGTTGACTATATGTATATATAGTACAGTACAAATAATTGCCTAAGTAATTGCCTTTAAGTATAAGATTTTTAAAGTTCAAAAAGACAAATATATGTCCCTGCTATTATTGGTATATGGTTTTGAAAATTCACAGAAGGGAGCCAAGTGCTTGCATTGCCTAGCAAAATAGGAATATGTGTTCATTCTTTCTGACATCTTGCCATAATGTACAGAGTGCATTCAGCAGGTGCTTTTTTTAGTTAACTGATTTGATTTGATTTTTTTAAGTAAACTCTACACCCAGCATGGGGCTCGAACTCACAACCCTGGGATTAAGAGTCACATGCTCTACTGCCTGAGCCAGCCAGGTGCCCCTAGTGAACTGATTTAAAATGAGTAGGTTCAGGAATACAAAAAAAATTGGGTGACTATGACTTTAAGTTAAAATAACTATAGTTATTTTCAGCCAGGGGGTGTCATGGCCCAAATAGTCAGTGAACCTTATGATGTGTATTCATTAAGCTAAATCACTCACCTTTGCGCTGTTGATGGTGTAAGTATGGTACATGAGAGATGATTCAGCAATAGATGTGTCTGCCTAAGTAAATCTGTTTTCGTTTTGTTTTCTAGTACCATAACAGCTTGGGGGAAAGACCGTGAAAAAGATGCTTTTGAACATATAGTAACACAATTTTCATCAGTGCCTGTATCTGTGGTCAGCGATAGCTATGACATTTACAACGCATGTGAAAAAATATGGGGTGAAGACCTAAGACATCTAATACTGTCAAGAAGTACAGAGGCACCGCTGATAATCAGACCTGATTCTGGAAATCCTCTGGACACTGTATTAAAGGTAAATTTTAACACATAACTTGATTATTAAAATGCCTGTAGATGAGCTATATCAGTACTATTTTAATTTGTGCACATGCCTTTTCAGAACTATCTGTTTTAGAATTGTAGCCCAGGGGTGTAATAAATTTGTCCAAGGATACAAAGTTCTGGGTTATTTATATGTTGTCAAATAGATAATAACATTGAACAGATATTTTCTACTTACCTTGAAAATTAATTAGTAACATTAATCCTGTGATTTGGTTACCAAGTTTGTGGTTTGTTTTCTTTACCACAAGTCATTGCTATACCTTTGAAGTTTTTAGTGCAAAAGAAATACACGCAAGGTGACGTGGAATTAAAAAGAATTCGAAAATACTTCTTAGATAGTGATTCTTTGGAGATGCTGTTGATCCTCAATGTAGCATTGCTGTTTTGTTTTTTTTGTTTTGTTTTGTTTTAGCGTTCAGGACTTGGTTTGCCTTCTTTGAAAATCAGTAGTAAGAGCAGGTTATTTGATGCCTACCACTAGAAAAATATTGTGTTAGGTGCTTTACTTAAGCTGTGTCATTTAATCTCTATGAAAACCCTATGATAAATACTACCATCTGTTTTATAGACAAAGCAACAGGCTTAGAGAGGTTAAAATAACTTGCTAAAGGTCACACAACATGTAAAATATGCCAAATACCCAACATAGATCTTTCTGGCTCCTGCCTTTCCACTTTACCACACTTTCCGAGCTAATGATTAGATGATAAATTACTTACCCTTGAGAAAGGGGGATATAGAACCAAGGAAGTCTTTTCCTGTTCCATTCAATAATAGGCCATTTTGAAGGTCTTAGCCTGAAATACTAATAAATTTGGTTTTAGCAAACTTAACAAGTTTCATGTTTTCCCTGTTACCTAATAAAAATGTACTGACCTAGTTAAGAATAAACCAAGTCATCAATATGTAATTTTCTCATTGGTAAAATCTTTATTTAGGAAAAGGGAGTGATGGGGGTAAATATATGTCTGGTAGGTCTTTTATATCTCTGACCAAGCTTTCTGAGAAATTTTAGATCAGTGTTCAGGAATTTCAGCTGTTCTAAAACTTAGTAGGCGGGGCGCCTGGGTGGCTCAGTTGGTTAAGCAACTGCCTTCGGCTCAGGTCATGATCCTGGAGTCCCTGGATCGAGTCCCGCATCGGGCTCCCTGCTCGGCAGGGCGCCTGCTTCTCCCTCTGACCCTCCCCCCTCTCATGTGCTCTCTCTCCCTCTCTCATTCTGTCTCAAATAAATAAATAAAATCTTTAAAAAAAAATAAAAGTAGGCAATGAACGAGCGGGATGATTTGCATAATATGCAATTTGTCTTTAAAAAAATGGGTGTCACCTTTAAATGAGAACTCCAGAGAAACTTGGGTTATATATGATTCATTTCCAGCTTTGCATATCATAATTTCTTTGAGGTTTGTAATTCATATTTGGGTTCTATCAGACAAAATAAGCCAAACAGGGGCACCTGGCTGGCACAGTTGGTTAAGCGTCCAGCTCTTGATCATGATCTCAGGGACGTGGGATGGAGCCCCGCATCAGGCTTCGCACTTTAAGATTCTCTCTCTCTCTCCCTCTGCCCCTCCTGCTTGCTCTCTCTCTCTCAAGTAAATAAATCTAAAAAAATAAGTAAGCCAAACAAACTGTTGGGCATAGGCAGAATAAATCCAAATCTTAATTATAGGTTTGTCAAATGATGTTTTATATACCTACTAAAAATACCATATTTACTGTTTTTGATTCATTGACCTCTGGGTTATGGGCCCGCATGCTTTCACTGGGCCACTCTGCTCACTTATATTTACTGTTTTAATTTCCTAATGTTAAAGGTTTTTTTCTTGAATCTGTAAAATTTGAAAAATGGGAAGGAGAAAACTTGTGTTTTGAGCAACTTTACAGTATAAATTGACATGAGAGAAAAATAGCATGCCTGTTTCTAATGTACTCAAAAGGAATTGAGACTAAATTTTAGAAGGCTTGTACATAGTGTTGTAAAACATTTTAAGTAATTTGATCAATTTTTATATTCTCAAGATTGTCTAGCAAAGTCATTTTTTTAACTGTGGAAAGCTTTTACACATTTTTTTTTCAGTTGTAGTTATTTTGTGTTGGGTGTGTATTTTCCCCTACAGGTTTTGGATATTTTGGGTAAGAAGTTCCCTGTTACTGAGAACTCAAAGGGCTACAAGTTGCTGCCACCTTATCTTAGAATTATTCAAGGGGACGGAGTAGATATTAATACCTTACAAGAGGTATGTATTTTATATTAAAGTTCCAGTAAAGCAATCCTTAGAATTAAGTTCCTTATCAGTTTGGTAAATAGCACATTAATAATTTAAGTACAGCTGTGATTCTTCTCATAAATGTTTATGATCATATGTCTTTTCTGTTAATTGCTTAAAATTTATAAACAGTTGATTCTTGAATAATGCAGGAGTTGCATTATTATACTCCTTCCACCCAGCACAGTCAGAAATTCATATATAACTCTTGACTCCCCCAAAACTTAACTCCAGATAGCCTGCTATTAACCAGAAACCTCACCAATAACATAAACAGTCAATTAACACATATTTTGTCTATCCTATGTATTATACACTATATTCCTGCGGTAGACACAAAACCTTAAATGTTTTATCACCAGTTGTTTCTCATTCCCTCATTTCTTTCATTACCCCAACCCTAACCACAGTCAGAATGGCAACACCACACATGCAGGAGCTTGGAATGAAATCCCCTCCTTTCACAGTTATACCTTTTTGAGGTGGGTAGGTCTTTTAAAAGAGAAAATGTAGAATATAACTCTGTAGGCCTTACTCTTACCTCACCATGTATGGTGTTATAAAATGGCTCTAGGATGTTTTTATTCATCAGTATGACTCAGCAAAAATAACCTTTATCAGATCACTTAGTTTTTGTTTTTTAATCCTCTAGATTGTAGAAGGCATGAAGCAAAAAAAATGGAGTATTGAAAACATTGCCTTCGGTTCTGGTGGAGCTTTGCTACAGAAGTTAACAAGAGATCTCTTGAATTGTTCCTTCAAGTGTAGTTATGTTGTAACCAATGGCCTTGGGGTATGTCCTTCAACTTTTGCTCCTGTGTTAACTTCTGTGTCTGACTGTTGCATTGAATAACTGCATTCTACTGAAGGATATGGTCCTAAACTCATAGTATGTTTACATGTACCACTGACCTTGACTCAAAACAAAGAAAAGAGACATTAGGTAAAAAATAACATGACTTGGAGAGAGGAGGAAGAATAAGATTTAAGAGATGATACAGGCCAGTCATTTCCCACTAGTTCAGTATTCTACCTTTGAGTCAAAGAGCTGACCATTTCGAGTGGGAATGCCAGCTAACCTAGCCATCATATACTAAAGCTAAGCATGTCAGCACTGTCAGTGTTTTAGGAAGGTGCAGCATGAGGTTGGAGTTGTGATGCCAGAATCCCATTCTAATAGCCTTAAAACAGGGGAACCCAAGCTGTCTGTTTCAGGCAGCTGAACAGCAATTGCCCTGACCCTTCATAGACTTTTGAGAATCTGTGGATCCAAAGGTGGGAGTGGGGGAGACTAAGAACTCCTCAGAACACCTGGGTTGGTTCCCTGCTTTACTTCATTTCTGTCTGTCTTTGGAAAGTTCTGGGGTTGATTCACTACTTGCTTCTATTTTGTTGGCCTCCTACCTTCTGATCTTTAAACAAACCTTCTGTTCTCTTGAGGTTCTCTAGGTCTTCTTTGCTTTTCACAATAACAAGGAATGAGTAAAAAGTAACAAAAGGAGAGGTTATCAAGTAATGGAATGAATGGAAGCCTTTACCTTAGTAAAAATTCTAGTTCCCTTGCCACAGATTCCATAATACATTTGACATAGATTTTTTTTTTTCGGTAGCATGCATGTGCTATAAGTTGAATCAGTTAAAGGCAATGCAAAATATAAAAGATCCTTAAGGGTTACATGTTAACTTCAGTGACGTCCTACAACTAGAGTAGTAGTTATCTACAGTGGTAAGAAAGGATATTTTCAGTACTTGGATTTTGTTCATACTTTACATAACGGAGGACTCTGTCCTCCAACACAGGCTAGAGTTATATGCTTCTAAAAGCCAGATGTGGATTCGTTTAGTTATACCTATAAAGTACCTAAAGTTTATGTATAAATTATGTATAAACTTTTTTCTTTAATGGGAATTGAGTCCACATTCCTGATTAGTCTTATTTCTTTCTTCCAGATTAATGTCTTCAAGGACCCAGTTGCTGATCCCAACAAAAGATCCAAAAAGGGTCGATTATCTTTACATAGGACACCAGCAGGGAATTTTGTTACACTTGAGGAAGGAAAAGGAGACCTTGAGGAATATGGTCATGTATGTTATCTATGCTGATCTTTTTTTTTTTTTAACAGTAGGTTAGCTTTCCAAATTAAGAAAGGGGGCTCTTATGTTGTATTTTTTAATTATTTTCAAAACAAATTTTTTCTTGAAGGACGAAGTACTTTTGTTGTAAAAAGTGTACAAATGCTGACCTAGCCTACCAAAATAAGATGAAAAGCAAGACGGGGCTAGATCCTAAGTGAGATTGGGCATACAATGGAGTGAAAAACTTTATAACATTAAAAAAAACAAAGTAAAAGTTCTTCCACATAGTGACCCGCAGGGTAGTGATTGATGAGCTTCAACAAGCTTTTGTGTATTTGATCTTACTCTTACTGCCAATTTAGCAGCAAATAATTTCTGAAGAGGAGTAGCCAAGAATACTTAAAGGAAGCTATTGATGTTAGAGTAAAACTTTGGTAATTTTAATAAAGGAAGGGCTATCCAAATTCTGAGATGTTCTTAAAGATAAGTATTTTTTTTTAACTTAACAGAATCCAGTCGAGATAGTTTTCTTTAGTCTCATATGATTCTCACAGCAATTCTGGGCTTAAAAAAAAGCAAATTATGTTATGTTAGTGTAAGATATGAAAAGGCCAGGACTGGATTCTGATGACATAATAATAATTGGTGAAACCTAGACTTAACCAAGTTTTTGGATTCAAATCAACCAAACTGGAAAAATTTCTAGTGTGCTGAAGTGGTCCATATGATCTAACGGTCTTTAACATGCAAAAGTACACTTACATTCGTGAACTCAGAAGTTACAAAATTTATTTAAGCCACTGGATTGAAAAAACTCACTTTCAGAGGGAAACTACTCATGAACATTCATATTATCAGAAAGAAGTTAATACCAAAAAAAAAAAGTTTATACCAAACATTAATTTATTACTATGGATTCTTAATACCATATCAGATATTCTGCTTAAAGTATATTACTTTGATATTCTTTAAAGATTTTGAGCCAAAATATTTTTCTGTCTTTAATGAAAAGTATTTAATCAAACCTAAACTAACGTTTAGGTCTAGCCTGTTGTTTAGGGCTTTGGTAGCCTTCACTTAACTCTTTTAGCTACCAAGTGTTTCCAGATGGACTAGAGACATTTTAGACACAGACCTAACTATGATTTTAAAAAGGCACTGATTTTAAGAGTATGTAAATGGTACTCTAGAACGTTTGAGGCAGTAATCAATTATAATCCTAAATGCCATTATGATTAGGAACCACCATTCTCTGATAGTACTTTATGAAAGAAAAGGTCACATACCTCAATCTTGATGGAAAACTTAGGCATGACAGATTATGTCTGTGGGTGTTTTAAAGAGAAACTAAAGGCAGGCAGACAGTTCCTTAGGGAGACCAAGTGGCTTTACCAGACCCAAAAGGGGATTTAGTTTTAATTCTCGATTGTTATCCTTGCATAGATCAAATGGATTACATGTATCAGTAACTTCTGGAATATACACAGCTTTTAAATCAGTCACTGTGCATTCATCAAAGAAATCAATACTTACTTTTGTTTCTGGTTTGGTTTCTTGTTTTTTTAGGGGTTTTTTTGTTTAAGTCCAAAACTCAGTGCCTAGGAAATTTATTAAATTCCAGGGTTGGTAAGTTTAATCAGTGTTGAGCCCGTTGTCTAGGAACAAGGGAAGGTCTGGCAGGCTCTCCTCGCTCACTGTCAGTCATGATGATCAGCAACAGCATGGCTCTTCTGGGCAGCAGGCATCTTCCACCTGAAAACAGAGAGATGGATCAGCTAGTGGGGTTTTTTTTGTTTTGTTTTTCCTTCAAGGAAAACTTTTAAGAATATTTAGATCATTGCTTCTTTTAAAGCTAAATATTTTTACATAGCCCTTTTAGATATTGCCATGCTCTCTGCCTGCTCCACCAGCATTGTGTATAAAGTTATTTCATAATTTGAACACCATCAAACATCTCTGTATTTGACTAGTCAGTCTGATTCATCAAAGCATTACTGAAGTATATTTTGCTTGATAGTCTAATATAACCATTACATTTTAGTATTATTATGTTTGTACAGGATCTTCTCCATACTGTCTTCAAGAATGGGAAGGTGACAAAAAACTATTCATTTGATGAAATAAGAAAAAATGCAAAGCTGAAGATCGAACTGGAAGTAGCGCCTCATTAGGCTTTATGAGGGGGTGTGTGTGCTCGCCTGCGTGTGTGTGTGTGTACGTGCATGCACGCACGTAGACACCTGCGTGTGAGTATATAATGTTTATTGTACAGATGTGTGGGGGTTTCTTTGTGTTTTATGATACATTGCAGCCAAATTATTTGTTGGTTTATGGACATACTGCCCTTTCATTTTTTTTTTTTTCCGTGTTTAGGTGATCTCAAATTAGGAAATGCACTTAACCATGTAAAAGATTAATGCTAAAGTAAGCTTTTTAGGGCCCTTTGCCAATAGATAGTAATTCAATCTGGTATTGATCTTTTCACAAATAACAGAACCCAGAAACTTTTATATATAACTGAAGATCACATAAAACAGATTTGCATAAAATCATTGATTGCTTTATGTTTATATTTAACTTGTATTTTTGTACAAACAAGATTGTGTAAGATATATTTAAAGTTTCAGTGATTTAACAGTCTTTCCAACTTTTCATGATTTTTATGAGCACAGACTTTCAAGAAAATACTTGAAAATAAATTACATTGCCTTTTGTCCATTAATCAGCAAATAAAACATGGCCTTAACAGAGTTGTTTGTGTTATTGTACAATTTGAAAATTATGTCGGGACATACCCTATAGAATTACTAACCTCACTGCCCCTTGTAGAATATGTATTAATCATTCTACATTAAAGAAAATAATGGTTCTTACTGGAATGTCTAGGCACTGTACAGTGATTATATACGTTGGTCATTGTATTGTACCAGTGAAATGCCAAATTTGAAGGCCTGTACTGCAATTTTATATGTCAGATATTGCCTGTGGCTCTAACATGCACCTCAAGATTTTAAGGAGATGTTTTTAGAGAGAATTTCTGCTTCCACTATAGAATATATACATAAATGTAAAATATTAACAAAAGTGGAAGTAGTGTATTTTAAAGTAATTACACTTCTGAATTTATTTTTCCTATTCTATAGTTGATATGACTTAAATGAATTACTGGAATGGGTAGTGAGTGTACTTATTTTAAATGTTTTGATTCTGTTATATTTTCATTAAGTTTTTTAAAAATTAAATTGGATATTAAATTGTATGGACATCATTTATTAATTTTAAACTGAATCCCTCAATAAATAATGCTCAAGCAAGTTCTTAAATGAGGATAAATTAAAGCATGGTGACATGAGTTTGAATAAAAGAATCTTAACCAAGAGTAGTAAGTTGGCTACATTCAACGTGTTCAACATCAAAATGTTCTAGAGTGATTAACTGCTAGATTCTGAGTCAGTCATCACATCTGACTAGAGACCAGTTTTAATGATTCTTTTCTATTTACATCATCTGTTCTAAGGCAGGAGTTGGCCAACTATGGCCCACAGGCCAAGGTCAGCCTGCTCTCCTTTGTAAATGCCTATTGTCTATGACTGCTGTCTCAGGACAGTGCAGAAACCAAGTAGTTACATAGTTACCATATGACCCACAAAGCGTGAGAAGTTTAATTATCTGGCCCTTTGCAGAAAAAGTCTGTCGGCTCCTGGGGTCTAAGAAAAGGAGTGTGTGCCTTGAAGTTTAAGAGAAATGTTGATTTCCAGGGAAGGGAGGAAGCTATGTTGATAAGGAGTTTGTCTCTCTTTTGTCCTTTCTGTTCTTATTTAAGAATCTGATCTTGGAAGACTGATTTTGAAAGCTTTAACAACATGACATTAAATGTGAAACTAAAAATTAAAAAGCCATAAATCATCTGTCCTAAACAGTTACATGAGAAAGGTATTTATCAGTAGAATAATGTCTCTTAAAAACATCATTAAAAAGAACATGGTTTTTGCAGATGATTCTAAACACTTGTTTATTGAGAATAATAAGCATTATTCACTTTTATTAAGAGTTTTCATCCTGTAATTCCTAGTGGAAAATAATTTTAAGCCGATTCTTTTAAATGTATCTAAGTAAAAATTAGTATTAAAAACACAGCTTTCTTCACAAAATGTGCTAAGGGGCTTATAGAGAATTAAAAAAACATATTTATTACCAAATAACAACTTTGATAACCACCAGTAATTTTGATTTTGTTTAAACATCGGAATTATACTAGAGACAATACTCTTTGTGTACTGTGAATCTCAGCAGTTTCAGAGTAGCTAGAGGAGTTTTATTTTAAAACTTTCAGTGAATGCTAAACTCTGTACGTTAGTAACATGGCCATAGATTGGAGGGGGGGGAATGATTAATGAGCCCCTTGGAACTGATTCATCTGAATTTCTATGACTAAGCACTTAATATTTGGCCATGCCCATTCTCAGTAGCAAATGGTTGACATAGTTATCAAATAGAATTCTGCTGTGTATCACCTTTAAATCAGCCTAAATCTTCCAGACAAAAGCAAATGGCATGTATGGGTTTGCTTAAGTCATTAGATTTGCAGTTGATGTCAGTTAATCCCTCTCAATTCATAACATCATGAAGTATTTGTATTTTAAATAGAAGATAGGAGTTCTGCGTTAAGACTCTTTAATTTTTGTACGCTATACTTCAAGTCAAATGGTTTTAATGATTAGCCCTTATTTCCTTTCTTTAAATAAATAGTTATGAAAATATTTTATAATGAAATTCATCTTGGAGAACTAGAAAGAGAAAAATGGCAAGGTAATTATTGTTCTGTTTGCCATAATTTAGAATTCAACACTTCAACAAGGATTTTGTAGTTTCACATTCCTTTTTAACCCATTCAGTGGAGAATATCCAGCTTTTCTCCCAAGTTGTATGTTAACTCTAATATGTATACAACATCAACGGTGAACATGTAATAAACATGGAAATAAAGCTTAGCTCTATTAGTGAAATGATAAAGTTGACTGTTTGCTTCAAAGACTGGCCATTTCGAGATTTACCCCCTTTTGGGTATTCCTCCAATTCAAAGAACGAGAAAAGGAGAGAGGCATCAAGGACGACTGCTCTCCTTCCTGCCTCGTGCAGCTGTCTATCTGAATGGCAGTGCCTCTTACTAAGGACACTGCAGGGAGACCAGATTTGGGGGGGAAAGGGCACGAGTCCTAGGTTAAGATCTGAGACGCCATGGAGACAGCTGAATGTGGATATTAGGGACACGAGGGTCTCCAGGTACGACTGTGAGGTAGAGCTGGTCCTGAGAGACACAGGAAAGGGTACTTCTCTAGGGAGACAGACGATGGCCTGGCAAACCACATGCCACATCCAGCCCGTCTATTTTTGTTTTTTTGTTTGTTTGTTTTTGTTTTTGTTTTTTTTTAAAGATTTTATTTTTTTATTTGAGACAGAGAGAATGAGAGAGAGCACATGAAAGGGGGGGGTGGGAGAGGGAGAAGCAGGCTTCCCGCCGAGCAGGGAGCCCGATGCGGGGCTCGATCCCGGGACTCCAGGATCATGACCTGAGCTGAAGGCAGTCGCTTAACCAACTGAGCCACCCAGGCGCCCCCAGCCCATCTGTTTTTGTAAATGCAGTTTGACTGGAACAGGCCACCCGCATTGGTCCCATTATCGCCTGTGGCCTCTTTCACGCCACAGTGGCACAGCTGAGAAGTTGTGACAGAGACTTTAAGGCCTGCAGAGCCTAAAATCATTTGCTTTATGGCCCTTTAAAGAAAAAATGTGCCAATCTCTGCTGGAGGGTGTAAGGAAAAGAGGACCCAGGGCAAACCCAGGGGAACTCTAAAAAGGTAAGTGGCAGAAGCTAAGCAGAGAAGACAGGTAGAAGCTAAAGAGATGAAGGGAAAACCGGGAGGACTAAAGGAAGGATGAAAGAAGGGAGTGTTTGTGCACAGTGTTGGTGCCGCTGAGAGACCGAGCAGAGTGAGGGATTACAAGCGCCCGCTGGACTGAACCTGGAAATACCGAGTGGCTTACAGACATTCCCTCCACGGTAGAGACGGCGCACGGCGGAAAGCGGCCACCTTACAACAATGAATTCTGGATGTAAAAAGGAGGCAAGAAATGAGGCAACAGTGTGTCTTTCTTCCCTTCCCTTTTTAGCTACTGCTTTGTATCTGAAAAGGACTCGGGAAAGAGGGAGAAGTTGAAGGTAACAGAGCCAGAAGGACTCCATGATGGTGCTGGGGTCCAAAGAGGGTGGAAGACGATGGGGTCCAAAGCGCTGGTTGAGAGACTGGCAGGCTTGCAGATGGGAGTGGGATAGGTGCACATGTAGGCTGTGGTATTCTCGAAGTCAGAGACCAAAGGGGATTGGGCTTTTGAAAAAGGAGGTTTTAAAATAGTTTTTGTGGGCAGTATAATAGGACTACAGAACAGTGTGGAGGACCCAGCTGTTTGGTGACTGAGAACTTAAAAGTGAAAGTTGTGATTCTTTTGTTCCCTTCCATAGTAGCACCCTGATGCCTGGGTACAGACACAGAGAACATGGAGATACTTGGTGTTTTGGCAGATGAGTCTGATAAAACAAAGGGATGCTAATTGAGTAATTGCTGAAATAATGGTCCTACATATCTAAACTGGATAGGTAAGGACATGAGGGCTACGCAGAGCACTGGGAAGGTAGTAGGGAGCCCGATGGACAGTCTGATAGCAGCTCTGATCTACTGGGAGTTGCTGGAACAGGCAGGTTTGGAAGGACAGGAAACACTAGGCTCAGACCAGGATGCTTGGATTAATGATCCGGAGAGTAGCAAGTTCATGGTGTCGTACTTTCCAAGGTAGGACCTTGCAGTGGCTAAATGCAGAAGATCATGAGACACAAAACAAGATCAGGAAACCTGAGAGGGCAATTGGGTTGGACAGTGGACATTAGAATCATCCAGAAAGACGGCAGAAGTTGAAGTAGTAGAAGAAAGCTGTATGAGGCACCAGCATGTTCAGTGAATGAAGGGAAGGGACCAGGAGGTCAAGAGGAGGCAGCAACAGTGAGCTGTGTGAGCCTCAAAGGGATCGGGCAGTGGAGACCACTGACCCAGGCCAGCCTGCACGAGGAGGAGCTCAGCCTCTCCAAAGTGTCCGAGCACGCATGGACAAGTACAAACTGATAAAAAGCACTTTGTGTATTGCCAAAGGTTTGATGTCCTTTACCAGGCACTCAGTCAATATTTGCTGACGTAATGAATGGAGGGAAGGAATAATCTCAATAAAAAAATGTATTGATTTTATTAGCGTGCTACAAACACCACTTCCACTGACATAGACCCAAGTGTTCAAGCCTTTAAGTGCATTTTTGAAATTGCATTTTTTTATTTTGAATGGTTTGAATGTTTTAAGATTTACATTTTGTTTAGTTATTTTTAAAAAAGCGGCCAAAGCATTCTGCAGCCAAATAAAACCAGTCACCTCTCATGTATTCAGGTTCTTCCCACCTCGTTTTAAATTACTATTTTATTTGAAGTTTCTCTAATTGTGACCTGTTCCCCAGAGACAACTCCATCTTTATTTGGTTCAGTTATTTGTTCTATTAAAACTTAGGAAAATATTTGTTTAGATTATTCTAACAAAGAGAAATATGTTCTTGAATTTTAGAATCAAATTACCAACTTCACCAAAATTTCTTTAACGAACATAGAAGTGGGCCTTGATAATCAGGAATTTGCCTGTAGACTACCACAGGGCAACTGAGCCTTCACCTTATTGGTATAGACTCTTGGTGACTTAGTAGTAGTAGTAGTAGTAGTAGTAGTAGTAGTAGTAGTAGTATTCACAGGAGACATGGGGCTTTTACCACATTTCATGGCTTGTGCTACTCTCTTGGTGAGCAGAAGTTGCCAATTGACTTTTCTACTGGTTTATAGCATCGTCTCTGCAAAAAAATACAATTTTGGTTTACATTGATTTATATTCATCCCAGAGAAATGAAGCATCATTCTTTGTTGACAACAAAATTCAATTTAAAAAGTTATCCTGACCAACTTTATTTTTTTGTTTTATTCTATCATTGGTTACTGAGCTGTTACTTCTTTGACTTAAACTTCAGGAAGACATAGTTTTTAACTTAAGCTCTTGTGCTTATGAGCAATCCTGATGAATTAATTGGCTACAAGTTTAATTCTGATGAGGTCTTCCTGAGTAGCATGAAGATTTCTACCAGATTCCTGAGCTCAGGGGAAAAAATAACTTTATCTTCAACTTCTCACTTTCTTTTCCTCCTCAGAAACAAACATGTTCCTATTTCTCTCATCCTTTTAAAAACACTAACTCCCTTGATAACACCAGCTGTACTCTCCCTTTTCCCATTCACATCCAGAGTTCTCAAGCTGTGCACATTTACTGCCTCACTTCATGTTCATCCCCATCTGGTCTTCATCCCTCATACACAGTGACCTCCTGATTGTCAACTGAGTGTGTTTAGTTCTTATCTTACCAGAGGATCTCTCCGCTATTTGCCACTGCTAATAATTGAAACTACTCCTTTGTGTCTGTGTTGTAATATGATGGGGGACCCTTCTCTCTCTTGGGCTCTTCTTCACACCTTTTAAATGTTGTCCTGTCCCATTTATCTCCACCTTCATCTTGGCTGATCTTAGCCATTCTCATGGTCTCAGCTATCACCTATCTGCTAAAGCTTCTATGCATTGATATCTCTAGCCCAGACCTCTGAATTTTTCTATGATGCCTTGTCACCCAGATACCTACCTACTCAAATACAACAGGTCCAAACTTAGCATATTCTTGAAGATCTACCTCATTTGGGGGTTCAGCCAACCACCCAAGTGAGATTTCCCACCCCACACATGTGATCAAACTCACAGTCCTGTTAATTTACCTACTAAATGTTATGATCTGTCTTCCCTCAAACTCACATTTCAGACTTGCAAATCTCTTCCTGAAACAACACAAAAAATACCTAACTAGTTATCCTATCCCAGCCCCCTTTCCCTCCCATTGTACTACCAGAGTATTATTAACATAATCCAATAGTTTCAGTCCCCTGCTTAAAACATTGAAGCTCCCTCTAGCTTCCAGGATAATGCTCAGAATCTAGCCTAAACTACAAAACCCTCCTTGGTCTGGCCCATGCTGCATAGATAGCCTCTTGTTTTGCTTTTCATTTTCTGTGCCAGGATTAACTGACTTGCTCTACCTTACACACACTCATGCACACATATTCACAATACACTATCTTCTGTTTTCTCTGCCTTTGCTCATGCTAACTCCTCAGCCAGGAATGCCTTCCTTTGGCCAACTCATTTTAGGTGATTAGGTGATAACGCCTCCAAGAAGCATTCAACTCACTCATCTGCCATCCACACTCCATGGGCCCTTCCTCTGGGCTCCACAGGTATTGAGTGTATTTCTAAAATGCTCTTGCAATCCATGGGTCTCTGTCCTATGGTGTAGGACGTGTACAATGGCGTTTTATTCATCCCTATTTCCTGCATTCAGCTCATAGACATACAAATGTAGAGTAAATGCCATTAAGATAAACGCTTTTCTATAATGTTTTGGTACCCTATGTAATGCTAATACCCTGAACATTTTACTTAGTATTAAAAAAAGGATATTTTACCTTTTTTAAAAAAGATGGGTAACTTTCAAAGCATGTTCACATATTACTGTCTTTTTGAAAAATCATTACAGTACATTCATGAAATAAGGTGTTTAATCAAAATATAGATTAGAGCCCAGAGGTTAGACAATGGCATGGAGTAGGACAACCCTAGGCTCACGTCATTCCACGAATACAATGAGATAACTATCAAATCATCCCAAATACCCCAGAAATTGACCTGAAGACTGGCAGAACAAACTCTATAACTAAAGAATAAAAGAGGCCACATTGAAGAAGGTAGGAAGGGGGAGAGATGCAGTTTGGGACAGAAATGGATTGTGGCCAATGCGGTGGGCAGGGAGCTGTGGTTGAGGAGAAGGGCTAGAGA